GTGACTGTCCCGGGAACCCCCTGCAACCCACCTCCACTGGTAGATTCGAGGCTCTCCAACCCCTCTGCTCGCTCTCGGAGATGAGGGACTGATACTTCCCCAGCTTGCATTCATGTGCCTCCTCAATCCTTTCCTCCCAGGGTACCGTCAGCTCTATTAGGGCCACCTGCCTTGTTACTTGGGACCAGAGCACAATATCTGGTCGGAGGCTGGTGACAGCAATCTCCTCTGGAAACTTGAGTTGCCTTCCGAGGTCAACTCTCATCTCCCAGTCCACTGCTTTACCAAGGATCCCTGAACATCTGTCCTCCTTGCCTGCCTTTTCCCCAGGCCTGAGGAAGCCAATGAAGCGGGGGCCTTTGTCTTGGGCCTTGGTTCTTTTCCGCTTCCTCTCCTTCTCCAGTCCATCGGCCAGTTGCCCCAGCACCTGATCATGGCGCCACCTGAACCTCCCCTCGGTCAGGCCTGCCCGACAGGACGACAGAATGTGCTCCAGGTTTGCTGGTCTCTTGCACTGCGCACAGGAAGGATCTTCTGTCAGTCTCCATCTTTGGAGGTTTGTTGGTGTTGGCAGTACATCGTACACGGAGCTGAGGAAGAACTTTATCCGATGCCCCTCCATGTTCCAAATGTCCTTCCAACTGAGGGATCTTCCTCGGACACTTTCCCACCGAGTCCAGCTGCCTTGCTGTTTCATGGCTACTGCCCTGGCTTGTCTGCTCTCTTCCTCCACAGCCCGAATCTCCTTCTACACCATCCCTTTCCGGTCCTTTGCCCTTGCCTCCTTCCAGCTTGCTCGGGTGATGACTCCTAGGCCCAGCCTCCCCTGGGTCACCGTGCCCATGATGTCTGCATGTTGTAAGCGCTCCTCCACTTCCCTCAGAGCTCCGCTGGCCTTCCACTTCCGATAAAAATAGAATCAATAAAAATAGACAATATATACAAATATAAAAAATTCAGATTTTAATGAAATGTGGTGGAAGGGTCAGCAATGGGCTAAGGAATAAGCAAGTAGTTTTTGATGTGCTGCCATGTTGTGATCATGTGGCCTTGGTGAATCCTCTTCTGAAAACAAAAAAAAACAGTCTTGATTCCAGTGACATGAGCGACTTCAGTCCAATTCAACAATATTTTTGAGCAGAGTAATTCAAAAACTGCTTTATCTTTGGCCATTAAACTTTATTGGCTTCAGTTCTCTTGAAGAAATTACAACCCGAGCTTTATCGAAGAGGAAGAGAAACTAGGAGCTCTTGAAGAAAAACATAAATGTCAAAGCTATCAGATGATTTTCACGCATGAAGTCAGCCTACATGATCCCATTCCATTTTACACATTCATACACCGATGACACAGCATTAGGAGCAATTTGGGGTTCAGTATCATGCTCAAGGATAGTCAAGGCATATTTTAAATATTTGCATCAGCCCAGAATTTTCCAATTGTATTCATAGAAATCTACACTTGTATGTGGAGAAATCATGACAGTTAAAATATGTTCTGACATCTTCTATCTGGCCTGTTTAAAGAACTCACAAGCATTCTTTGCCAGTTAGTCACTATGTGAACATGCTTCTAATTGCACGCAACATTACAAAATTATACATTTGCAGACAGCAATCTATTTTTTCCCCCTCTTCTGTCAAGAGACAACTTTTGAGTGTCAAATGACAAAATTAAACTTAACTCATAGACTTGCTGAGAGCCCCCTGGTTAATACTGAATAACAGTAAAATGAAGCTGGGTAACCAGACTTGTCTGTAATTTGTGATTGTACAGTTTCATGAGGCTTTGATTATCCTAGAGGTCACAATAGCTCATTTTATAAAGTGAAGTCAAGTTTCAAAAAATGTTCTCACTACAATGTTATGGCTACTATTTCTTCATCATCACACATGAATACAATTGGGCTCATTGGATCCACAAGAGTCTCATCTCTCCAACCATATCAAGTATAATGTCATTCCCATACTGTTTAGGAACTCCAGAAATATCCAAATACATTAGATGAAATGCATTCAAAAGAGACACATAGACAGTTGGAAACATTTGAGGGAATATGGGGGATGCTGAAAAATGCTAAAAATGCACCCTGCAGCCTGTGCTGTGTTTTGATACATCAAGGAAGCTGTCTGTAGGGCTGAACTAGACGACAGATTTGTTCCTTTTTCTCAGTCTTGCCCTTCTGTCAGTTTTGTCTTGGATCTATAATATTCTCTGAACTATATTATATACAGTATACTGTATATAAACTATATACTATACTCAACACCATACTATACTGTAGCCTATATACCCTATAGAGTAGTGTCACCTTTCGTGATCGAAGTAGCCAAGTGTACACTTAAAAAACTGACTTTTTGGTATAGTAACATATATTAAATTAACAGTCATCATTTTTACATTGTAAAATTAAGATTCAGTGAGAACTAGAATTTCTTAACTAAATATTTGAATTTTATTCATATAATAGATGAACTGTGTAAGAGTAGTAACTTTTATTACAGATTTACTCATGCTATTTAAATGATTTATCATTACTGCACATAAACCTGAAAACACTGAGTAAAATTTAATCTAAAAGTGTAGCGTGTGTTTGACTCTGCCCATGCACATTTGGACAGACAGGATACCTGCTACTGTCAGCCAATCAACACAAAGGAAAACAAACGAGCCAGAGGACGGTTAATGTGAAGGTCCACGGAGACCCTGCTCAGACTGCATGGTCGGGTTACCTCAGGTACAATGTCAACGTAAGTTTTTGATTTTCTGTTTTGCATTTGTGATAATATATATATTTATACACACTGCCTGCATTCTGATTTTGGTTCTTGTTTGCAATATAACATTATGTTACTGTTGTGGTGACCCACAAGTAAGACTGAAAGAGACATTCACCAAGGGACTGTACCTTTAAGGGAGAGGTGTGATGGGATCCCGGTCCAGGTTAACGTGGTGTGGCCGTTTCTGACCTCACTCGCTGTACAGTGTGTTATGATATTGAAGTGGAGAGTAAAGCTGACTCGACGCATCTCCGTCTCTTGTCTCCTCACTTATTGCACTCCACATTGGTGACCCCGACGCGAGTTGGATACGGCTATGATAATTATGTCACACAACGATGGTGGTGAAAATACTGCTGCTGCGGCGCGGCTAATGTCGGTGCTATCTACGCTGCTACCATCAAGTTACCGGACTTTTGGTAGCACAACCCACGGCCGTGGTTTCAACACATTGAGGCCCAGTTCCAGCTGAGAGGAATAACACAGGACATTACAAAGTATTTCCACGTGGTAGCGGCCTTAGATGCCTCGTCGACAGCCAGGGCTATGGCGCTGTAAGAGGCTCCTCCGGCTGACGGCAAGTACAATGCACTCAAAACATTCCTGTTGAGCCTCTTTGAACTGTCGGAGCTGGAGAAAGCAGACCGCCTGCTGTCCCTGAACGGCCTTAGTGATAGCAAGCCGTCCGAGTTAATGGAGAGGATGCTGGCTGTGCTGGGCGCGGCGGATCCCTCATTCCTCTTCACCCACATTTTCCTGCGGCAGCTTCCAGCACCCGTGCGCACCGCACTGGCCAGTTCCCCCCTCCCTTCCTCCAGAGACTACCGGGCGCTGGCTGTGGAGGCAGACAGGATTTTCCTTGCCAACCGGCAGCAGTTTGTCCATGCGCTGCTGCCCCCCCAGCACACGTCTGCCCCGCTTTCCCCCCCGGAGGACGACCCGGGCACCGCAGCTGCTGTGACGGCCCGCCGACAGCGTGAGGACGGGTGGTGTTATTACCATTCCAGGTTTGGGGCCAAGGCCAAGCAGTGCCACCAGCCTTGCAGTTTTGGCGCCCAGGGAAAAGCCTGGGCCGGCGCTCATTAGCAGCTATGGGAACGGCCGTGACTGCAAGCTGTTATTCATCACTGACACCTTGTCCGGCCGGCGGCTGCTGGTCGATTCTGGGGCTCAGTGCAGCATCCTGCGGACAAAAAACCGCAGGATGAAACCTGTGGACACCATGGCTGGCGGGCATGGCCCCCCCGATGGACGCCGCCAACGGCACACCCATTCGTACCTATGGCACCAGGTATGTGGAAGTGTGTTTCGGCGGGCGGCGTTTCGGCTGGGACTTCGTCATGGCCGCCGTGTCTACGTCACTCCTGGGAGCAGATTTCCTCTGCGCTTACAGACTGTTGGTGGATGTTACAAACTGCCGCCAGTTCGACGCCCTCTCTTTTGCTTCGTACCCCTGCATGCTGAGAGGGGTGGGGGCGCTTTGTCTGTCGAACATGCTTGCCACCGGGGACCTGTATCATCGCCTGCTTGCTGAGTTCCCTGACATCACCACGCCCACGTTTTCATCGGCGGTGGCTAAGCATGGCGTGGAGCACTACATCACCAGGGTTGGCCCCCCAGTCTATGCACGAGCCCGGCGCCTCCACTCTGCCAAGCTTGCGATCGCCAGGGAGGAGTTCGCCACCATGGAGCACCTCGGCATCGTGCGCCGCTCCAACAGCCCGTGGGCCTCCCCCCTGCACATGGTGACCAAGGCTGATGGCGGTTGGCGTCCCTGTGGTGATTTACGTCGCCACCACCCCCGACCGGTACCCAGTGCCGTACATACAGGACTTCTCCGCCCACCTAGCCGGCGCCACCATCTTTTCAAAGGTGGACCTGGTGCGCGGTTACCACCAGGTGCCTGTCCACCCGCAGGATGTCCCCAAGACAGCAGTCATCACACCCTTTGGCCTTTTCGAATTCCTACGGACGCCTTTCGGCCTCAAGGGTGCTGCGGGACATGCCGTTCCTGTTTGTTTATTTGGACGACATTCTCGTGGCCAGCGCGTCCGCAGACGATCAGTTCTTCCAAATATTCCAGCATATGTCCTCCTCTATTCCAACATTCATGGCGATTTCTCGCCATGAATTCCGGCGTCTCTGTGCTCCTTTATTGAAGAATCGTACAGATCGTCCATCTTCCTGTTTCCGGTTTGTCGCGTGCAGCTGAAAACCGGGCCAAAATCCTGGCGCGCCAGCGAGATCTATGTCATTTTGACGTCACGTTGTCGCGCAACAGCTCGAGTGCGTCGAGTATACTGGGCGCTTTACACTCCTCTGCGACGTCTCCACTGGCCAACCGCGTTTTTGACGCCATCCATGGTCTTTCCCACCCAGGGGTGAAGGCCTCTACCAAGCTGGTGGGGGCCAAGTTTGTCTGGCCGGGCCTGCAGAGGGACGTCAGGGCCTGGGCTGCTGCCTGTGTGGAGTGCCAGCAAGCAAAGGAGACTCGCCGGTAGAAAAATATCTTGGTATATTTAACTTGATTGAATATTGAACAGAAAGCCTCTCATGCAAGTCCAGTCTTGTCAGTTAAGTTATTTCTTCTCATACGCATATAATTTCATCTGTATTTTGTTGTTAAGTCTATAAATATATGTTTCAATTTACAGGAAGCAGAACAGTACAGCACTGAGTTGTGGTGTCAGGTCCAGGATATGCTGCTGGAGGAGCCACTGCAGTGTAAATTGAGGGCTTAGTAGAAGAAGTGACTGGTCTGTGGTACAACATTCATCTCATTTAGGTAAGTAGAAATCTGTGTATGCATGACATAATGTTGTTTTTCCCTATTCTTGATGCAATATAAAATTGTGGGTAAATATTTTAAAAATCATTGTTTTAATATCACAAATTGTGTCTGTTAATTACAGAGGGACCCATTTCTTAGGACGAGCCAATACAGTGGATAGTTGAGGACAGTTGAGGGAGGACAGATTGATGGGTTTCAACATTTGTGTCATCAGGGAGAACAGCAGGCCTCCTATGTTATGAGATGGTCATGCAAAAATTGCAACTTTAGAACATCAACACGTTTAGAGCCCTTAAAGCATTATAGATTGAAATATCTATACACTGGTCAGTCATTACCCTGCTTATACTCATTGTATTGTTCTTGTTCATTTAAAGGTTGGGGTGCTATTTGCAAACATTTGTCTGGAGATCATACACAAACCGAACATTTAGGGCAAATTGTTTCATTTTCATGTCTTGTATGTAATTCAGAGAGAAAAACATGGTTGCTGAAATGAAAATTTCCAGCATATTTACTCTCGACACCGACCACAGTGATTGACAGACTGACCACGGCATCGTAGCAGGAACAGCAAGCTGGTAGTCAGCACTAACAGAGCTAACAAAGCTAACAGAGGTAACTGGCCATTAGCAGCTGCTGTCAGACTCTCTGTGTCTGTGCTCAGGGTCCACTGGAGCTTTTAGCACATTCACATTGTTTGTAAAAGTTTCTGTCTGCTACCTGTTTATAGCTAAGCTAGTGGCTGTGTTGAAGCTAAGCTAGCGGCTCAGAGAGGCTAACTCTCCAGTATGTGTGTGTGTCTGTGTGGGAACAAGGTAAAGATTGCAGTCCGGTGCATTGTTCTAAATGAACTTCATGAAGCAGCAAAATTAATTCCTGAGTAACATATGAACCTCCACGATTCACTTTAAATGTACAACTATTCATTTGTGTAAAGGACAGTTAACTCCTTAAATGGTTTAAATATGACGGTTTCAGTTAAGAACAGTGGTTAGTGGAATACATTTTATTTTTCAGCTACTTAAGCATTCAGTCAGTTGCGTACTGTGCTAACATGGACAGCTGCATATTACATTACTTATGATCAAAAACTAGCAAGTTGAAAACTTTGTAATTGTGGAAGAAACTAGTTTGGAAGATTCAGCATCTGCAAATATTCACGTTACTTAGATTTTAATAATCAAAACTGGATTTTAATTGAAAGGACACAATTACCAGTTTTGTGGGGAGTAGCAGAAAAGTAGTTAGTAGTGTAACTAATTATTGTAGGTAGGGAGTATTACTTACTCCCTACCTACAATAATTTGGGGTATAATAAAAAGTAATATTATTACTTTTAGAAACAGTAGAATAACAGCAGATCAATTCAACAATGAGCCCTAATAGCTTTGCTTCTGTTTCTTTATATCTGTATCTCCTATCCGTAACTGTAAATGTGCTGCGTTTGTTTATTTAATCCAGCTGTAAGAGAACTTGCATTCATTCAAGTCTCATTTGTCAGCCACACCTACACCACCATCTAGTGTTCAATATTGGGCATCACATGCCAGTGATCCTGGTAGTACTGGAACTCATCAGCTTTGTATTTGTTTTGTAAGGAATCTGCTATTACAGATCCAAAAAATGTTTTTAGTACCCATTTTCCCAACAAATACTTTTTCTTTTCGTTTTAAATTCAATTCAATTCAATTCAATGTTTGTCTGACGGGTTCATAGCCATCAAAACTGGTGTTTTATTGGTGCCTATATCCGTCATATTTACGTATTCCAAGGAACCCATTGTTAAAAAAAGTTTCTACTCTTAATGATTCATGAGTTATTTTGCCTAAAATGAATTGCCACAAACACTCAAAGCAGAGCAATGAGGAGTCAAATGAACGTCTCTGCAGTTCACAGAGGGTGTATGGACCAGCACTGTAACCACTGCACTACTGAACACAATGGCATCCATCATAGGGCTGCCTGATTATTTGAAGAGACGTTGACTTTGACTGAGCTTTCCATTACTGGGATTCCAAACTCGACAGCAGGTCGTCCTGAAGTTTTTCCTCTTATCTCAATTGTTCAAATGTCACTTAATTTGATCGAGTATTGTAACACCAGATTAAGTGGATATGACTTCATTTCACTTTTATTTTAATTTAATATTTAACATTACTTGGCCAACATTGTTCCACAATTACCAACACTCCCAAATTCCCAGCCAGCCTGGGTCAGTGTGTCTTTGGTTTTGATGGTTGGTGGTATTTGGATCTCAGTATTCCTGCTTTCAAGTCTAGTTTTCTAATGAAACTATATTTGTGAGGTTTTTTAAGATTTACGTCTTCAGTAGGAACAAACAGGGTTGGAGCTGAGAGCCACAGACAGGAAGTCAGAAAGTATTGAGAGACAGGGTAACATGTTGTTGTTTTTGGTCTTTTCATCTTCAGAGTAATACAGATATAATGTTATATAATAATTTCAGATATGAGTATAAAAATGTAAAATCCTCGACTGAGCTGATGGTTGTCTGACAGCTGTGAAATCCATGTGGATGTGAGAGGACCTCCCTGAGCACCTTCCTCTTCAGTCGGCCCTCCTCCAGCTGCAGGAACACCCAGGTTATCATCCAGCTCAATGTTCTCCTGTCTGCCCGGCTTCTGCCCCCTGCAGGCCTGGAGAGACATGACAGCATGAGTCCGCTGAGTGCTTCATTTCAGTCAGCCCTCTTAATAACAGACAGTGTCAGTACCTCACAGTAGAAGCAGAGGGCGGTGGTCACCAACAGAGTCAGTGACAGGACAACCACAGAAGGTGTTAGGTGTAAACTGCTGCTATCTGATCACACATCCTGACTGCATTTTTCTTCAAACTGTAGAGAGGTCATGATATTCCCTGAACTCCTTTTTTTCCCCCTTTTGTGTTCAATGTTAATGAGTTTTCTAATGGTGAATTCCCACCAAACCCAAATACAATTACTCACATGAGTAGACTGCATACAACGTCAATGCAGAGATGCAAAGAAGTGAATTTACACTGGGTGACGTGAATGGGGCAAAATTCTAATTCAGATTGAAAAATATTCAACTTTGAGCGAAGAGACAGAGCTACTGCTTTACACTTGTCTGAGAAACAGTTTCGACTCCATTACAAGACACTTTCAATATCGGTTTTACCCAAATGTCCTGAAAGCTTATTATCTATTAGCCACTCTCGCACACATTCTAATTAATTTCTAAGAGTGTACTCAGTCCCTCTGTTATCATTCCCAGTTAAAAGTAATGTGGAGTCATCAGCATACATCATTTATATACATAAGAAATAAAAGAGACCCTAAAACGGAACCTTGGGGCACTCCACATATAATATTGTGAGGTTCTGATATAACCCCATCAACATCACAGACGTTCTTGCAGTAAGATAAGAATTTTATTTATTACAGCAGTATGTCTTAAACCCATGCATTGCAGCTTTGACAACACTTGATTTACTGTGTCAAAGGCTTTTTTCAAATCAAGCAAGATCATTCCAACATATTTCCTTTCATCAAAGTTTTGTCTGATAAAGTCACAGAGGTGAATAAAACAGGTTTCAGTGAATATGTTGCTCTGAAACCAGGCTGATAACAAACTCATACAACATTTTTTCCTTACGAAGTTCTGCCTACTAACCTTGGACATGGTTGTTAAGATTGATACTGGCTGTAATATCCAACATATGATTTACTACTTTTCTTCAGTTCACAGGGAAATTTACCCTGACTTATAGATACATTTACTATATGAGTAACTACATTAGAAATTACACTGGGTGTAAGTCATTTGATTTGTTTGACTCTCCCTTACTGTTTCCACTGAGACAGGACAGAAATTCCTCAGGAACAAAATATTTACAAATTACAAACTGTATCTCTTTCAACCACAGGGTAATTTAACAACCAAACTAGCAGCAAAGGTTTAAAAAATTATTAAAATAGCTAAAAACCTCCCCTTTATTAAAATTAATCTTATCCTTAATAACCAGATTTTTTATTTTACTGCACATTGCGTGTGTACTTTATATAATTTTTTGATCTGTTGTGAATTTTCAGCAGTGGCATCTACTTTATGACTTTGATTTCTTATATCTTGATTGATTTCTAAAAATATATATTTATCATAATATCAATTTTGACTTCTTAGACCTTAAAATATAAATCTCGGTCTGCAATAAAATAAAAAATCTCTGTCGTCCTCCAGTTTGTTTAATTTTAGTCTCCTTTATTGGAGCAACAGCATTAAGTGCCGCTAAAAAATGTCCATGCCTTATCAACATCCTTGCTACTCAAGACATCCGTCCAGTCCCTCACAGGCAACATATGTTCAAACCCCTGAGTTGTTTAGTATTTTGTATATCTGAACCTAATAGAACATTGATTTAGATATCTTACGGATGGGTTAGGGGCCTCATGCCTCTTGCACTCTGGGATTGGAGTGTACCTCTTAAAGTGACATTGTGAGTGATGTTCAAAAGAGAAAATTTGGTTTCCAGAGTGATGACAAACTATAAACAGAGTGAGTACATCCACCGTGTGGGACCTCCAAACACACAGACAGACAGACAGAATCAAGCCCAGTACTCTACACTTCAGGATGTCACTGTCTTGGATAACATTAGACACAACACACTGGAAACTCTGTAATTGATGATGTCACTGATAGGATTACCTGAACAGGTGAGATGAAGGCTGTCAGAAGAGGACCGTGATTTTGCACAGTCCCTCAGAGCAAATCTGGACTGAACACAGTCATAGCTGATCATCCAGACAGATCTGTAAGACTATTCTTTTCTCCGTTCTACAGAAACAGCAGAGCCACAGTCCAGACTTCTGCAGGTAACAGCTGCTTCCTTCAGGGTCCAGTCAGAGCCAATCACTGGTCTCCATTCACCATTATGTTTCAGTTCCAGTGTTCCTGCACAGTGACAGTCTCCTCCCACCACCCTGACAGGCTCTGAACAGGAACAAGAGAGTCATCAGTAAAAGAATAAAGTGAGTTTCATCAAAACAGAAATGAACCAATCAGAGTTGCAGTTCCTCTTCTACCTGAGCAGGTGAGTCCAACCGCTTTTCAAGGTGAGCAGGTGTTTCTAGCTGAGCCCGAGCTTCTACAGTCCAGGAGAGCAGACTCATGGCCTCCACACTGGAACTCTTTGGTCCACATTGGAGCCTCCACTTCTCCATAGAGCACCCCCTTGAAGACTGAAGGAGCCCCACAGCCGAGCTCCCTACAGACCACCTCTGCATCCTGCTGGTCAAAGTCAGCTTCACACACTGAGGACCACCACTGGTTAGACTGGTCAGACTTCACCTCCAGTCTGCCTGAGCACAGACTAGTCGATAAAGAAAAAAAAAATAGAAGATAAAGTAGAGAAAGATAAAAGCAGATAGATAGACAGCAGACACAAAATAAAAAGATGTCATCAACTGGTATATGGACATCTTTGTAGTCTTCTGACCACTACACTATACACTACATGTATACACCATACACTACATATATAATTATATCTCAAATCAATTTGCAGTTCCGTATCTTGCTCAAGGACACGTCAACTCACAACAGGAGGAGATGGGGATTGAACTGTCAACCTTCCGAGTCGTGGACAACTCACTCTTCATCCTGAGCCACAGCCGCCCGCCCCAATCCAGTGATTCAAACTGGACTCTATCATTAACAAAATTCAATTCAATTAAATTTTATTTGTATAGCGCCAATTCATAACAGAAGTTATCTCAGGACACTTTTCAAATAGAGCAGGTCTAGACTGAACTCTTTATAACATTATTTACAGAGACCCAACAGTACCACCATGAGCAAGACCTTGGAGACAAGGGCAAGGAAAAACTGCCTGTTAAAAGGCAGAAACCTAGGACAGATCCTCCGGTTCTAGGTGAGTGGTCGTCTGTCTCGACCAGTTGGGGAGAGAGAGAGAGAGAGACAGACAGACAGACAGACAGACAGCAACAACAGTATTGGCAATGGCAATCTAGCAGGACCATGGCAGGAGGCTCCACCAGGATCGATAAGAACCTGCGAGTCGAGAAAGCACAAGAACTCCGGGGAAGAAGTGAAGTTAGTAACATGCATTAATGGAACATGAATGAGTGCAGAAAGAGAGAGGAAGGGAGGAGCTCAGTGCACCATGGGAAATCCCCCGATAGTCTAGGCCTATAGCAGCATAACTAAGGGATGGTTCAGGACTCACCTGATCCAGCCCTAACTATAAGCTTTATCAAAGAGGAATGTCTTAAGCCTACTCTTGAATGTGGTGAGGGTGTCTGCCTCCCGAACCACAACTGGAAGCTGGTTCCACAGGAGAGGAGCTTGGTAACTGAAGGCTCTGGCTCCTGTTCTACTTTTAGAGACTATAGGAACCACAAGTAGCCCAGCATTCAGAGAACGTAGTGTTCTAGTGGGGTAATAGGGTACTATGAGCTCTTTAAGATATGAAGGGGCCTGACCATGAAGAGCTTTATAGGTGAGGAGGAGGATTTTAAATTCTATTCTACATTTTACAGGGAGCCAATGCAGAGAAGCTAGTACAGGAGAGATGTGAACTCTTTTTCTGGTTCCTGTCAGTACTCGTGCTGAGGCTTTCTGAATTAATTGGAGCGTTTCAATGGACTTATTGGGGCAACCTGATAATAAAGAGTTGCAGTAATCCAGCCTTGAAGTAACAAATGCATGGATTAGTTTTTCTGCATCTGTCTGTGATAGTATGTGTCTAATTTTTGTAATATTACGTAAATGAAAGAAGGCAGTCCTAGAGGTCTGCTTTATGTGGGAGTTAAATGACAAATCCTGACCAAAGAACTCCAAGATTCCTGACAGTGGTGCTAGAGGCCAAGTTAATGCCATCTAGAGTAACTATATCTTTAGACAGTGAGTCTCTAAGGTTTTTGGGGCCAAGAACAAGAATTTCGTTTTTTTCTGAGTTTAACATCAGAAAATTGCAGCTCATCCAGGATTTTATGTCCTTAAGACATGTTTGTAATTTAGATAATTGATTAATTTCATCGGGCTTGATTGATAGATATAACTGCGTATCATCTGCATAACAGTGAAAGTTAATGGAGTGATTCCTAATAATGTTGCCTAAAGGGAGCATATATAAAGTAAATAGTATTGGTCCAAGTACAGAACCTTGTGGAACTCAATGACTAACTGTAGTATTTATTGAAGATTCATCGTTAACATGTACAAACTGCGAGCGATCTGATAAATATGACTTAAACCAGCTTAGTGTGGTTCCTTTAATGCCAATTTGATGCTCAAGTCTCTGTAAAAGAATATCATGGTCAATGGTGTCAAATCAGCACTAAGATCTAATAATACAAGTACGGAGACAAGTCCATTGTCAGAAGCAATCAGAAGGTCATTATTAACTTTAACCAGAGCTGTCTCTGTGCTATGATGAACTCTAAATCCTGACTGAAAATCCTCAAACAAACTATTGTTAGTCACACAACTCTTTTGCGACTACTTTCTCCAGAATCTTAGAGAGGAAGGGGAGGTTAGAAATCGGTCTATAGTTGGCTAAAACCCCTGGGTCAAGAGTGGGCTTTTTAAGAAGGGGTTTAATTACAGCTACTTTAAAGGACTGTGGTACACAAAAGACCACATCTTTATAACAGCACAGATTATTAAAATAACCTGATGGTCTTACCTGAACAGGTGAGATCCAGGATGTAGGAAGAGGAATCTGATGTTACACTGTCCCTGAGAGCAGATCCAGACTGAACACAGTTAGACCTGACCCTCCAGACTCTCTCCGTAGTACAGAAACAGGAGAGCCACAGTCCAGTTCTCTGCAGGCAACAGCTGCTTCCTTCAGGCTCCAGCCAGAGAGTCACCTACTGGTCTCCAGTCTCCCTGATGTTTCAGCTCCAGTGTTCCTGCACAGCGATTGTCTCCTCCCACCAACCTGACAGTCTCTGAACAGAAACAAGAGAGTCATCAGCATAAGAAGTGACTATAATTATTTATTTCTCTTTTCTTTCTGTATTTACCTGTGTTTTGTTCTCCTTCTATCTGCAGTCCTGAGGAGAAAAACATATATACATGTATAAAGTATAAAAGTATAAAGCAGCATTTTGATTGGAGGACACTGCAGTCAGTTTACCTGTTTACTACAGGTTAGAAGAACATGTGAATACCCTGAACACAAAGGTTTTCATTTTGTTTCTGCTTGAAATGATCCCAAACAGTTTCTCTGGCCTGTCTCTCCTCTTTGCCACTCGCTTTTTCTCTCTCCGAAGCACAATGTCCAACAGTAGTCATCAGCTGTTGAAAACACAGTACGCGTTATATAGTTGTATGGATTAAACAAAGCCTTGGTGCAAGTAATTTGCATAGATGATTTTTAGAGGAATTGGTTCAGCCCTACTTAAGATATAATATTATAGGACCCACTAGTCTCGATAGCAGTGTCAGTAAGCTTGGACCTTACTGATTTTCGGGTTTTGAGAAAGTTGGAACTGGTTCCTTATAGAATCGGGTCTTGATCACCATCCCTAACAATGAGTGACCTCCATAGAAAAACAGGCAGGGCAGATTACAAGGACCTCAGTTGTCAGAGTTGAGTGGAGAACATTTAAAATCCAGGTTGTAACAGAGGCTACACAGTCATGAAGGGTAGTCAGGTTATTGAGGTTTTTAGGTTGAACTGAGAAGTAAAGCTACGTGTTATTAGTGTAGCAATGGTTGGAGAGGCCACTAAAGCAGAGTCAAAGGTCAACACACAAAATGCAGTTTACTTTTTATCTCACAAAAATTTTATTCCATTTCTATCTCCAAAAAGGAAGATTATGCTCATGGAGCGACAGCACTCTCTGAAGTGTTGTTTTGCTCCTACAGTGTGTAGATGTGTTTGTGTTTGGATTTAAACAGCTCCAGATTGTGGTGTAACTCTTCAGTCCTGGTAACACTGAGATGTTCTGAGCAGGGGAGGGAGAAGGACTCCCACAGAGTAATACAAATACAGGAGAGAGCATTAATCTTTATCACCTTCTAAGCTTGTGTTACAGATGTTTCAAGATGTTTGGCCAAAGTGATGGTAATTTCTTGGCTCTCTCTCCTCGTCTCTTTTTGAACATATGATTTTTGGTGGAACAATTTTTATCAGTTCCCCCTCTGCTTGTGCTATTACCTCAACCTCAACTACTGCTCGCTCTCTGTGGAGACATATTCACATATACTAATCTTTAAAAAGTCATACCAGTCAGAAAACAACTTTCATTTGTAGGGGAACATAAAGTACTTATTCTCTCTTCACTTTTTCCAAAACTCTGTTATTCTAGTTCTGGTTTCTGGTTTGAGGGAGTTTCTCTCTCCAGTGTTTGGTGCAGCCTTTACTGAGTTACCTGAATGAACTGTATTCTGCTGACTGTTCATTTTTTTGTTTGGATTATGTGAATGAATTAATCTCAGGGACTTTTTGTTTATGAGGCTATTGTTGCACTTGCAGTGGCGTGTTGAGTGTGGTTGTGTCGGATGTGTACTGTCTCGGTTTTCTCTCTCTCTCTCTCTCTTTCTCTCTCTTACACACACAGAGTTCAACAGAGTTGACAATGGCTGCACCCTGCATGGAAGCCTTGTGAGTAAAAAACAGCTGTGTGACAGCTGATGTAAAACAAAAGATCAATAAAACCCAATACCGGAGATACCAACCTTTGAGATCAGATTGGACCTCCCTAGCATAGAAAGATAATCACTGAATATAAATACTATACATATATAATAAAAAAAAAACACCACTATGTCCAGTTGGTTGGCCAGGACCTGTTTGTCAGTCTGGAAGTTCAAGTCCCACGTCATTCGGATTGGACAAGTGCGGCCGGATGGTCTCAAAGAGAGGCAAGATGATCAGAACTGAAGGGGTCGACCTACCATAGGGCAACATAGGTGATATCCAAGACAGCTACAAGTACCTTGGTATCCCACAGGCTAATGGAAACCATGAGGAAGCCACAAGGAAGTCAACCACAACCAAATACCTCCAGAGAGTTAGGCAGGTCCTGAAAAGTCAGCTGAATGGCAGGAACAAGATCTAAGCCATCAACATGTACGCACTACCAGTCATCAGATACCCTGCTGGGATCATAAGCTGGCCAAAGGAGGAGATAAAAGCCACAGATATCAAGACAAGAAAGCTCCTCACCATGCACGGAGGGTTTCACCCCAAATCCAGCACCCTGACACTGTATCCTAAGCGGAAAGAGGGAGGCCGAGGACTAGTGAGCATCAAGGCCACTATCCAGGATGAAACATCAAAAATCCAAGAGTACATCAGAAAAAAGGCCACAAAGGATGAACTGCTAAGTGAATGTCTCAGGCAACAGAAGCCCGATAAGAGTGCAGAGGAAGAGGAGCAGACAACCTGGAGGGACAAGCCCCTACATGGCACGTACCACCGCCAAATTGAAGAAGTGGCTGATATCGAGAAGACCTACCAATGGCTGGAAAAGGCTGGACTCAGAGACAGCACAGAGGCACTGATCATGGCAGCACAAGAACAGGCCCTAGGTACAAGAGCCATAGAGGCCAAGATCTACAAGAGTAGATCTGACCCAAGGTACAGACGATGCAAAGATGCCCCTGAGACAGTCCAGCACATAGTAGCAGGATGTAAGATGCTAGCCGGGTCAGCATACATGGAGAGACACAACCAAGTGGCTGGAATAGTGAACAGGAACATCTGTACCCAGTATGAAATAGAAGTACCCAAATCCCAATGGGCCGCACCACAGAAGGTGGCTGAGAACAACACGGCCAAGGTGCTGTGGGACTTCAGCTTCCAGACTGACAAACAGGTCCTGGCCAACCAACCAGACATAGTGGTGGTAGACAAGGAGCAGAAGAAAGGGGTGGTGATAGATGTGGCCATACCAGCAGACGCCAACATCAGAAAGAAGGAACACGAAAAGGTTGAAAAGTACCAAGGGTTGAAAGAACAGCTGGAGCAGATGTGGAAGATCAAGGCGAACGTGTTCCCCGTGGTAGTAGGACCCCCAAACTGGGGGAGTGGCTCCAACAGATCCCAGGAACAACATCAGAAGCCTCAGTCCAGAAGAGCGCAGTCCTAGGAACAGCTAAGATACTGCGCAGAACCCTCAAACTCCCAGGCCTCTGGTAGAGGACCCAAGCTTGAGGATGACACAGATACCACCCCAAGAGGGTGAGAGGGAAGTTTTGGTTTTATTTATAGAATGTATATAAATACATTAAGTGGTGGTTGCAAACTAATTATTGGGTAAAAATAGAATAAAAAACTTGGTTTGATTTGATGAAAATCTGAAGTATTCAAACTTAATGTGAACAATTTTTATCCCTTTGATGCTTTGGTGTGTGTGTGTGTGTGTGTGTGTGTGTGTGTGTGTGTGAAAAACAGATAAAAAAAGATTCTTTCAACTGAATCAACCAACAGCAGTTTGATTGATATTCACTCATAACATTGATTTAAATTCAATGAAAATTGAGATATCCGTTTCTGTAGATGAAGCCTTCGTATGTTCCTCCAATATCCAACACAAATATTTAACTCATCATCTTTAAAGCAGAGTCCTACCTGAGCTCAACAGCAACAGCAAAAGCACCAGGTGATCCATGTCCAGGTACAGCGTCTCTCTGCCCGTCTGTCTGGTCTCTGATCTGGTAATCACATGTGCTGTCCTCAGTGTCTGTCTGCTTACAGGAAGAGGTGGAGCTTTACTGGAATATATCTGACTGACTTTCTGTCACATGTTCAGCTTTTTCTATCAGCCATCCCAGATAGCAAGGAATGTTCCCACAATGTTAGCTAACATTTTCTGCAAGTTCTAAGTATGGTTTAACAAAAATGATTTAATATAATGTTCAAAGAACACTCAGGATGTGGAGTATTTCAAATAATGTTGAGGCACAGGTCATCATTCTGCTGGTGTAGGGTGCATTATTTTATTTTAGTGATCTGTGAAAAAATATTTTGTGAAATAGAAAATATGGTGTGTGATATATATTATTCAAAGAATGTCTGTATGGATTCTGGTAGCATTTGAACACAGCACTGACATCTGCCCTGTATCTACAGCACTTATATCTGCCCTGTATCTACAGCACTGACCTCTGTAAATGTTGTCAAATGGACTCAATCAAATCTTTATTAACTCTCTCTGAAAGAAATTAGTGTCAACTTATTGGACTTCACTAAAACTTATGAAATAAAGTTAATATATCCTTTCTGTTACTATTATATGAATCAAAATAACAGTACAGCAGTCTGACCTGCATTTACAGCACTGATATATGAATTGTATATACAACACTGATATTTATCACTGTACATAGGTCTATGAAAAGCATTTAATTACAGTTTCCTTTGTTTGATATAAATTTAGAAATACATTTAAATAATTTATCTTTGTGTGGTGTCTACTCTATTTCATCCTGAAGTGATCTGCTCAAGGAATAAATTGTGTTATTTCTGTTTAAGTGCTTGCCCCTGTTCCACTCATCCTAACAAACATCTTTGGCTGCCATAGAAACATCAGCTTTCAATGCACTTCCAACAGACAACAGTGAACTGTTTCATTTTGTTGTGAAGACTGCTGTGTTTGATGGGAGACATTGGGGTCGGAGGCAGTAGTGACAGGACTTTTAATGTCACATGGTCAGTGTTCAAGGCAGCGGCCTAAAGTGCAAATGGAGTTGACTCTGGAGGTCCTGGTTGGTGTACAGCCCTTGTGTTTTCTTGTTGGGTTGAAACGTATGCAAAATAATTGTCATTAAAATGTTATTATTTTTACAAGCAATTTCAGGTGTGCAGAAGTTTTAGGCATTCTTCTCAGGCATTGTTGCTTAAGAGACTTCTGATGACGTTGTGAGCAAAAAGACCTCGTATATTTGCGGTGCAGAATCAAAATCAGAATCGGGTTTATTGCCAAGTAAGTTTTTACACGTACAAGGAATTTGTCTAGGTGCGTTGTGCATAAAAATCACACAGAAAAATAAAGTAAATTGTTTAAAATATAAATAAATAAAGATAAGAAAAAGAAGAAAAGAAGACTGTACAGAAGACGGGAGTGCATTAATGTAATGCATATATACAGGGTGGGTATAAGAGTCGGTGTCAGTTGGGGATCCGGGCCTTGTTAATGAGACCAGCTGCCGACAGAAAGAAACTGTTATTGTGGTGTGAGGTTTTGGTCCTGATGGACCACAGCCTCCTGCCAGAGGGAAGTGTTTCAAAGAGTTTGTGTCCGGGGTGGGAGGGGTCAGCCACAATCTTGCCTGCACGCCTCAGGGTCCTAGAGACGTAAAGGTCCTGGAGGGATGGCAGATTGCAGCCGATCACCTTCTCAGCGGATCAATTGATTCGCTGCAGTCTGACGTTGTCCTTGGCGGTGGCAGCAGCGGCTGGCTGCGCAAGGTCACCAGATGGTCAATCTCCCATCTGTAGGCGGACTCATCTCCATCAGAAATGAGCCCAATGAGGGAGCCTGACGGACTGGTGAATGGAGGTGCAGCTGTTGGTGTAGAGAGAGAAGAGCAGAGGAGAAAGAATGCAGCCTTGGAGGGAGCGGTGCTGATCGTCCGAAAGTCACTGTTGTAGAAGAACTAATAATTTAGTAAAAATAGAATCAAAAACTGGGTTTAATTTTATGAAAATAGTTGAGTGTTTCTGATTTTCTCCCTTTGATGCTTTGATATGTGTGTGTGTGTGTGTGTGTGTGTGTGTGTGTGTGTGTGAAAGTTGATTTGCAACAACAGATAAAAACATTCTTCAACTGAATCAACCAACAGCAGTTTGATTGATATTCCCTGGATTGCACTCATAAACATCACACTACTCAGCCTCCCTGGGATAGTTTACTCTAAGGTGCTGGAAAGGAGGGTCCGGTCGATTGTTTAACCTTTGATTGAAGAAGAACAGTGCGGGTTCCGTCCTGGTCGTGGAACAACAGACCAACTCTCTACTCTCTCTCTCTCTCAGGTGTCCTGGAAGGGGCCTGGGAATATGCCCATCCGGTCTACATGTGCTTTGTGGATTTGGAGAAGGCATATGACCAGGTTCCCCAGGATATCCTGTGGGAAGTGCTGTGGGAGTATGGGGTGAGGGGGCCACTTCTCAGGGCCATCCAAGCACTGTATTTCCAAAGCGAGAGTAGTGTCTGGATTCTTGGTCGTAAGTCAGACTCGTTTCCAATGGGTGTTGGCCTCCGCCAGGGCTACGCTTTGTCGCCAATCCTGTTTGTGACTTTCATGGACAGGATATCGAGGCGTAGTCGTGGGGGGCAGGGGTTGCAGTTTGGTGGACTGAGGATTGCATCATTGTTTTTTGCAGATGATGTGGTCCTGATGGCATCATCGGCCTGTGACCTTCAGCATTCACTGGATCGGTTCGCAGCTGAGTGTCACTGGGATGAGGATCAGCACCTCTAAATCGGAGGCCATGGTTCTCAGCAGGAAACCAGTGGATTGTCTGCTCCGGGTAGGGAGTGAGTCCTTACCCCAAGTGAAGGAGTTCAAGTACCTCAGGGTTTTGTTCACGAGTGAGTGAATAGAATGGAGCAGGAGATTGGCCGGAGAATTGTGGCAGCAGGGGCAATTTTGCGATCCCTTTATAAAACAGTTGTCACAAAGAGAGAGTTGAGCCGAAAGATCTACCGGTTGATCTTTGTTCCTACCCTCACCTATGGTCATGAGAGATGGGTCGTGACCGAAACAACGAGCGGCCGAAATGGGTTTCCTCAGGAGGGTGACTGGCGTTTCCCTTAGGGATAGGGTGAGAAGCGAGGGACTCGGAGTTAACCTGCTTCTCCTTTGCATCGAAAGGAGCCAGCTTAGATGGTTCGGGCATCTGATGAGGATGCCTCCAGGGCGCCTCCCGAGGGAGGTGTTCCTGGGACGTCCAGCTGGGAGGAGGCCATGGGCCAGACCGAGGACCAGGTGGAGAGATTATATCTCAACACTGGCCTGGGAACGCCTCGGGATCCCCCAGTCAGAGTTGGCCGATGTGGCCAGGGAAAGGGAAGTTTGGGGTCCTCTACTGGACTTGCTGCCCCCGTGACCCGATCCCGGATAAGCGGATGAAGATGAGATGAGATGTGTCTTTCTATGAGCAGAGATCTTTAATGTTTTTGTTCTCTACACTAGTTCAATAAATGGAACCTTCGCCATGAAACAGGAAGTTGTCATAACTTCTGCGTACATGATCCGATCTCAATGAAACTTCACATGTTTGATAAGAGTCCCACCCTGAACACGTCTATGTGATAATATTCAGTAATAGTGAGAGCACCACCTAGTGGCAACAGGAAGTATCACGTTTTATACTTTCATGTACTTTCAAACTACTCCTAGTAAGATGATCAGATCCACCTGAAATTTACTTATAAAATGCAAAACACATTGTTGATGATATGTGATGAATGTGGTGAGTGGGCGTGTCTGTGGCCTGGCATGTCATTTTGATGTACCGCCACAAAACACGAGTTTGCTAAAACTTGAGTGTACATAGTCCATTCGGCTCCAAACTTCACTTGTCTGATAAGAGTCCCGCCCTGAACATGTCGATGTGATAATATTCAGTAATAGTGAGAGCACCACCTAGTGGTGAAAGGAAATTTATTTTTTTCTTTTATGTATATCTCCTAGAAGATAGACCAGATCCAGCGGAAATTCTGTAAGTAGTCCTTTAGGACAATGACGATGACATTCTATGAATCTTAAGCACTTTCGTAGGACCACGTTGCTGTGACAACGTGGCGAAAATCTGCCTTTTTGATAACATTTGAACACCTTTTGGGGGGCTAAACATGCCCGAAAATTCATGAAACTTTGCAAAACGCTAAAGGTACTGTCTTGGTCCCGTGGATGGGCGTCGCATAATGGTTTAGCCATGCCCCTCCAGAATCAGCCCCCAAGACACGTAAGACTGACATGTATCAAAATTGGTACGTATGTGTATTGCATTGTATTTGAACAAACTCCTCCTAAGGAATATATCGGATCAATTTCAAAATTGGCCAGATGAAAAGTTGTAGAGTACTCATAACTTCAGTGTGCAATGTCCAATCTCCACTTAACTTCATGTAACACTGTAGATATTAGTGATTGCTTGGACCTGAGTCTAGGTTTGGAGGAGCAGTTTGTAACTAGACCTCAGTAATAACAGACTACAGACCAAGAAGTAAGTTTTAACTGCCGGCTTATTTATATAGAACAGTTAGTAGTGGACATACACAGTTGGCACCAAATCACACACATACACGAAAAGAAAAAGAAACATACGCTCAGTTTCTTGGAAATATTTCACATTAATAATGTCCAGCTCTCAGGAGACGGGTTATTCCTCCTATTTTTACCTATCTTTGGTTTCCGTTAAATCTAGTTGAGTTGAAAATAATTTTCAACTTAGGGTCCTTTAAGTTGTTATTTAGTCCCTCGTTTTCTCATTGAGTTAACTCAGTTCCCATTTTATCTCAGTAAGGCCTATCTTAAGAGTTTTTGTCTCACCTTCTCTTTAGTTCACTTAACCAATAGGTTTTTGTTTTTTTTAGTTTAAAAAAAAAAAAAGAAAAGAAAAACATTTGCATCACCAATTCGGCAAAATAATGAAAATTACAATACCACAAAATTCAGATTGGGAACTCAACTTCACAAATCAGCCATGATCTACAACTCAATCTCACAACTCTAAATTAGTCCCTTTGTTAAGTCCTTTAAGAGTCCAGATGAGCTTCACTGCACACTGCAGCAAAATAATAAAGTTTCAGTCCTACCACGATTCAGGTGAATGAATCAGTGTCCCTGGAATATATGTTGGTCTTGTGGAAACAGATCCGTATCCGACGCAGTTTCTCCTATGGGTGGCTCGCCATCTTCTTTCCCCGCTCCACGTGCATAAACACCAAGCAGCTCCTCTCGACAAAAAACCTGGCCAGTTTCACAACAGGGCAATACACATTTACACAGTTTTGTCTTTTATATATTCAACAAAAATTACCTGAGGAGGACTAACACCTAAACACAGGCTAAATGTTAAATTAAATCAGAACCGCACCATAAAATGGCGGCGGCGTTCGTCTCCATTCAACGACAAGGCTCAACTTGACCATGCCTATTGCACGTAACATTAGCTTTTCAATTTTCTTACACAAATAAACACTTCCTTAGTTTAGCTGCTGGCACGTTAGGCGTAACGTTACATTCAGCTCAAAAAAAACAACAAGGAAATGCATGCTAATTTACACGTTATAAACAGTAGTTTCCACCCACCAAATCCTTTTTCAAAGCAACAAAAATAGAATCCAGCAATGTGGACCAAAAAGCAACAAAGAATCCTCCAAAATATGGAAAAGAATTTAGGTTTTACAGTCCTTTTTTACTCTTTTATCTCAGTCTCTCCTCACTCGGTTTTCGGACTTCTCTGTTGTTTTACTTCTCAATGTCTACTGCTCTCACTCTGTTTTTTCTCTCTCTCCAGCAAGCGGCGCTAGAATCACTCTGATTGGCTGTTACCGCTGCACTTATTAAAGTTCAGTCAGGACCACTTTCGTCAAAATATTTTATATCCCAAGCAGAATTTACATTTGGCGGTATGGCTCTGTTCTGGGACCTCCTTGTCCTTCCGCGTGCCTACGTGGAAAACCTAAAGACAGGGAGAGCACACCTCCCTGCCCTTCCATGTGCCTACATGGAAAAGTTTAAGA